CAAAAACACTTAAAACAATCTGTACACAACAAGCTCAGTCACAGTTATTAATTATAAACAGGGAAGACAGAAACTTTTGCTTTAAACATTTGCTGATGCTTTTGTCCAACATTAGCCTGGTTTCCATACAATTTAATGCTAACTTTGAGTGTGTTTGTAAAATGTTAGAAAAAACAGGTAAAAAGAGAAAATGTGCATCAGATATGTTTCCATCAACTGGCTTGAAGCGAATCAACCAGGTTACATGGAGAGAAGCTCTCAGGAACATGTTGTTGATATCAGAAAGTTGTACTTATTCTGTCATATAAACTCTTGGTGATGTTCCATGCTGTCTGCAGACGTAGAGAAACAAATGTAATTCTCTTCACATTACATGAAGACAGCAGGAGGGTCCAGCTGCAGCAGCCAGTAAATGTTCACTACATCAGAACTTATTCAGCATGTTTCCAACTCCCCTTTTGTGCTTTAACTTTTTTTCCAAAAACCATCTCAAGCAAGTGTAAAAATTTTTTTGTGAAACTGAAGAGTTTTTGTGAATTTTGTCGTTTCCATCCACCTTTCCTAATGCGATACTTGAAATGCTCATAAAAACTTTGATGGAAACATGGCTACTACTCTGGGTTTTTCTCCAGATTGTGCTCTGTGCTCCTGATGTGTTCATGATTAACTCACATTCCTGAGCGTATAAAGGCAAGCTGGCAARGAAGGATTATTCCTCTACTCACTACTGCAAACACTGGGTCTCAAACTTTAMGTGACATTTGAAAGAGAAAACTCTTTTCTAAAACAATAAATGAGATGGCTCTGTTAGCCTCCGACTATTCAAAAACAGAGTTCAAGCTAAATCTGCAGTCACTTCATCCCATCCCCTGACAGTTAAACACATCACTTTAGTTTTAACAGCAGGATATGGACCGTCTCCATTTGGACCATCATAGGTCTGACTGACTGTCCTTGATGAAAGGAAACACCWTGTCCAGCCTGCAAACCTTCTCCTCCATGCAGGAGAGAAAGGCCTCCTCCTCCAATCTTCATCCCTTCTAGCTGGACCATGAGGGGCTGAACAGTAAGGATGGACCAACTCTCTGCACCATCATGTCCATCTAATCTCTAWGGAAAGTGGTTTGTCTCAACAAGTCTTTCACCTACAACTTGTGCAGACATTTTGCATAAAACTTTGGCATTAAGTGAAGTCAACTTTACCAAAATGATCATGAACTAATGACTGGATTTAACCAAAGTCTCAGAGTAATCCCTGGAACAAACTGGTTAACTTCTGGACTCAACCTGTCATGAACACCATTAAGCAAAATAAGAAATCCAAAGTTTATTTCAATAAATTTTAATGTAAAGTTTCAAATCTAGAGTCAGAGGTTATTATTTCCATAGGTTAACCTCATTATAACTGAACATGTCTGCATACAAAACATTAAATAACAGCACTGACCATGAGCCACKTTCAAATAGGGATGAACTTTGTGCATGAACTTGATCATATTCAGCTACAAATGTGTATAAATACATACAAACAACTTAGCATCCATTAACATTTGTATCAAACTGTGTGATACAAGACAGCAACACTGATGGACATCCCTTTAAGAATGTGATGGTCCTCATTTCAAAGTGTGCCACCTCCTCTGTGACTGTCCAACTCATCGGTGTCCCTGCTGCCAAACTCATGAACCAACATGAGACAGRAGCTGGAAACAGGACAACCAGGTCATCGAGAAGCTGGATTCCAAATTAAACCCAGCAAAGAAGTCACTCTGCAGCAGTTTTACAGTAAACACAGTATTTCACTGGGCTGAGACTGTTKGTACTGTCAGGTAGTGTTTCCCTACCTGACAGTACTTAATATCTGCATGGTTAGTTAGGACTAGCCTGGTAAAAACCAGACCCTTTTTCTTTACTTCATACAGAGGGTCTGGACTCTTGACTACTGAGAAGTGATTTCTAGCTGGAGGCGTGGTCTCTGTTGAAGTTTAATGATCTCACCCAATCACTAACGTTTGGCTGTGACGTTTGTAGTGCACCAGCTTGACTGTAAAGTAGGGTTGGGCAACATTGGCAAAAATAATTAATCCCCTGAAAACCATTATGTATAGTCACATGACCAATTTAGTGGCAAAGATTTGCTCTTAATTGTGTGAAAATTACAGACTTCAGGCTACACATCAATTTTTAAATTGTGTTGATTAGATAAATAAATTACAGAACTTTTATTTATGTTTGTCACATTTGAATCAGGGAGGAGCACAGAGCAGACTCTGCCTGGTGGCATTAATCGTCAGAAAAACATTAATTAATATAATTAATGTTTTTCTGACGATTAATTGCACACGATACGATGATGACATGTCCAACCCTACTGTAAACGAAGCTAAGCTAAGAAGCTAACCTGAAATATGGGGTTGGGCATAATCTTATAGTGTACAATTAATCGTCAGAAAAACATTAATTATTCTTTGGCTCTTGATGATTAATTCGATTAATGTCACCAGGCAGAGTCTGCTCTGTGCTCCTCCCTGATTCAAATGTGACAAACATTGAAAAAAAAAGTTTTGTCATTTATCAACACAATTTAACATTTCTTTCACAGACAAGACGGGGAGGTTCTGAAGGAAAAAGAAAAAAGTTAAAAAGAGACACCTTTGATGTAACTGTACATAAAAGTCTGTCTGTTAGCAATAACACAGTGAGGTAAGTTTCTAAAAACGAAGCGAGCATGGAGAACAACTCACCTCAGCTGTGTTGACTCAACGCACTGAACGTGTGAAGGACATCCTAAATCATCATTATCTATACAGTCAGTTTAGTGACTCTCCTTGTAGAAAACTGACTAAACGCAAAGTTGCTGTGCATCATGATTAATCTTCCCCAGTAACAACTCATCACTTCAGAAAATCTGCCTCGTCACATTTTCTGCTCTGGGGTTTGGCTGGAGACTCAAACTGYCATGTTTGTTTTGGAAACACTGCTCATTTTCCTTTTTGACCCAGTAACATATAACTTTTACAAACATACACTCCATTAAAAAGAAAAACAAATAATCAGTGTTTCCCCGACCATTATCCAAGCACCCCTCCCCACCAGGACTTTCAGTGTGTTGTGTACAAAAATACGTCATCACATGACACTAACTGCAATAATTGCAAAGTGTCAAATATTAGTTGACAGTTTTGCACATTTTATATGATTTTGCCCAAACCTATTCAAGAGGATGTGGCAATTCATCCAACATTACTGAGTTATTTGTTTAATCACATATGATCAGCTWCTTGTCTCTTCTGTCTTTAGAAAACGGTTTGTGCTTCAAATGCTGATAAAACTTCGTTTCACCTTCTCACAAAGACAGAAGCACATCTTGAAAACAAATTCAGTGCCGACTAGGGCTGCCACGATTAATCGACGACTAATCGATTATTAAAATAATCGTTTGTGGCAGCCCTAGTGCCGACGAGGACTGTGTTATTGTAGCCAAACCACTTTCTTATTGAAGTAGCTTTTATTTTGAGGGAGGCTACAGCAAAGAGTTAATAACTCTCAGCTGCTGCACCAAATTTTAGGCCAACTGTAAAACAAAGTTATAACCATTTTTGTGTGTTTTTATGTTTTAAAGCCAATCAGCTGCAGCAGCCATCTTGACTCGAATACCCAATTTCCCTCTGGGATCAATATAGTATTTTTGAATTGAATTTGAATGTAATTGAATCAAGTTAAGTTGTAGATAAACATCCAATGTTGACTAAGTTAATTTTTTTTCTTTTTGTCCAGTGGTTTATGAGATATTTTTGTAACACACAGAGGAAAAAACATTTGCCTCTCAGCGATGTGAAAAAAAAAACATCCATCAAACCTACACTAACAGCACATGTTATTGTTTTACAATCCACCATATATAAACCATTAGTGACTATATTTATCACTGCTGAGCACTAATATGATCACGTCCATGTATTGTGGATTTCTACCAGTGCTCTTCCTCTGAATTAAAGGGTTCTTTATTCCTTTCTCTTAAACCAGACTGAAAGCAGCTCGACATGCCACACCCTGCCACACATAACTGTCCCCATCACTGAATGAGCAACACAGCTCCTTAAAACCACAATCCTCATGATTAACACAGAGCACAGCAGCTTGGAAGGATTTTCCACATGCCTCTCCTGATTGAGGCATGGATGGAGCTCAAATCAGAAATCTCAGCTTAGGCATAGTGATGGCGAATCAGCCGCTCCCACCTGAACAATAACCCGGAGAAAACTCTGCTTCTCTGCTCTGATTACAGCTCCTGACAATTATTACAACCTGAAAATGACTTCCAAATAGAAAGAATGGCAACTGAAAACTACAGAAAGACGAGCTGATTCTGAAGCTGATCAATTTTTATGTGCCATCGAGATGAATAAAAAGTGGTACTGTCCCTTTAAGAGGGTCCTCCCTTCATTGGCCCAGTAACAATGCATCTGCAGTGCAGAGCAGCGCCACCAAACCTAATTGTGTAAATTATTAATTTACTAACTTGACAACAAGCGTGCCTCAATCAATGTGAGACAAAACAAAATATTATGTTTAAGAACATAAAATAAAAATCGGCTATGGTCAAATCTGACAAGCGCGACGTATTTCTTGTAAAAATGGCTGCTTTTGACGGTATGCCTAAAGAAGGCCTATCAAGCAGCAAATTGACAACACGCAAATCTTTTCTCTAAGTACCCACGTTACAAAATGCCCAGCCCAGTTCTACGCCACACACTGCTGCATTCGTTTCTTTAGGAGCAAATCCACATGAAATCAAGCTGGAACATCAGTGTAAACGCTTTGTGTGTCGCTACTGCAGGTGTTCCTCATGATAGCAAACACCAAATCAACCAAGGTACAAACGCGTGTTGTGTCAGCGTTACTGTCCCGCTCTGAAAACCAGTGGCTTCAACCGAATGCACCACATGACACAAAGCAAGCTAACTTCATCTTAAACTAGGTTTAAAACGAGGTCTTACCGGATAGCTTCGATTCTTGTTTGGCAGCTGAGTTTTGTCCATCGGCAAAACCTTGCGACGAAGATATCTGGGCGGACTGAGTTGGATCCATTTTATTGTTGATTTAACACACAGCAGTGCAGTGGSGATAAAACAGCTGTCGTCTTAGCTGGATGTGACTTCTATAGTTATGTCAAYAAATAATCCTATATGTCTGACTTTACTTAAAATCCCCCCAAGAACGCGTCTCTGCTCTGCACCTTAACGCAACGTACGAGCTCAGTGAAAAWAACAGCAAAGATGGACAGAAACAAGGCTGTGGAGGAGGGGCGTAAGATGCGTTCAAGGTCTGCACTGAAGCTCCGAAATATCATTATCGTTGAAAAAATGACGATTGAGCCCATCTTTATTTTCAAAAACAAATACACACACCTTCCAGTTCATCATACTTCCTACTAACAACGTTTCCCCTCATACTTCTTTATAATAAAAATTACGTTCTTGTCAGACAAATTTTGCCGATTTGGAGTGAAGTTAAAATATTCGACAGCAATTGAACGCAGCAAGAATATTCCTGAACAAGGTGCCTCGTGTGTGTGTGTGTGTGTGCGCGCGCGCGCGCGTGAGATCACCAATAACGTGTTATCATTATGTGTAGTCTAGAAAACAGGTAGGCCATATTGCGCATTTTTATTCAAAGTGTTTTATAATTTCGTTATGGGAAGCAGCCTTTTTATAGTTTGACATAAGACATCCGCAGCTACGATAATAAAACTGTTGAGAAGTCTGTCTTTTCTGCTGTTCAATGTAACCCTAAGTACGAGTGTTTTAATGTGAGCTGTTTATCAGTGTGCGACGCTTACTTTTACTCCGTCACACATTTATGTAACAGACCTATGTTGCCCTCTCGTGGTGGGATTTGTTGTTAACCCAATAAAAACTACATTTCCCAGTATACACAAGGAGCCGTGCGGAGCCTGTAGTGAAGAGCTATACATCGTAGGGATGGGACTTACTAGTATTCAGCTGCTTCTAATGTGGACACACTTGTTGTGAGATCTGCCGTCTGCGCCTGCGTTGACAGCTTTCACGCGCTCCACAGACTTTGGGGCAGACTGAACTGCGCGGTAAAAGAGATACACAAACAAAAACATGTGGTTGGGACAGTGAGAAAATTGGTAAGTAAAAGTCCTACACTGCTCTAAAATTAAGCTGTGTTATGTTATTTCGGGATAACCCATTAATACCGCATATTATCGCTATCGTATTTGTTAGGAGTGTAAATATCGTGTTGTAAAAGAAATGTGTTTAGCTAACTAGCCATTTGATAGCTTGTTAGCTGCTTCCTGAAGCGTCATTCAAACCGCTAATTTTTATTTTATTTATGCTGTATGTACCTGGTTTCATAGTTTGGTTTATGTCTATGCTGTATTGTGCATGTTGAAGCCGTAGTGCATAATACTTTTAGAAAAGTTTAACAAAAACAGGTTAGCTAGTTAGCTCACGTCAACCACAGCAATAAACCCGCCTCGCGTGATATTTCGACTTGTGCTTAAATATCCTGAGCACTTGTAACATTCCGGATCCTCTTGGCATATTAACTGAGTTAGATAACTTTAATAAAGTAACAGTGGTCTTCTTGGCGCTTAGTGAATGAATGAATGCAGCGGCGGAAGTCGGTACCCGCCCACCCCGGTCAGCACGAACCGTGTAAGCTAACAGCGAGCTGAGGGGCTCGTCTGTGTTTACTCCATGTGTTTGTCCTTAAGGGTGACGTCACAGAAAGATTATAGCCAAGTAAACATGCGTGTTATCACATAGTCTAAGCTCGTTATGAGACGTTTATCCTCTATTAAGCTGAAGTTATTCACACATACATAACTCAATACACAGTAGCTTTTACAAATAAATAAAAAATTCAAAATTAAACCAAATATCTACAGAGTAATGGAAATAAATTATATAACATTAAATAAGTGAATGCGTAAATATTCACACCTTTTAAAGCGACTGTTCTAATTCAACTCAGAATAGATTATTAATATAAAAGAGCCTGGATGCAAAATAGTTTTCAGAGCCATAAACATCCCCAGGGGTTCTGTTAAACCCATCATCAATAAATGAAAGAAGAGACTGTAAATACAACTGCTGTCCTGGTTCTTCACCAGACTGCGGTTTGTGGGAGCTACTGAAGAAAACTCAGATTAAATCTCAACTACAGTTTGTTTAGAAAGTATGAAACTGTTTTTTTTCACAATAAATCCATTTTGAGCTTAGTTTATGACAGCAATAAAAGGGTAAAACATCCAAGAGCGTGACATACTTTTAATGTGTTTTAGTATGAGCTAAAGGCCTTAAAATAACTAAATCTCCTGTTATCAAAGGAAACCCTGAGGTCCTTCAGGCACAGCAGTATTTTAGATGAACTAGTTTTTGAATRTTTGACTTCCTGCAGCGTCAGAGTGAGCTGATGGTGTGAAGCTAACGCCTCCTTCCTGCTGCAGGTGAGCAGACGGCCGTACAGAGTTGTGACGGGCAGCTGGGATCATGGGTTTACACTCAGCACAGAAGAAGTTCTTTCCCCTGCGAGGGATAGACGGTGTGGTTCAGCTCTTCGAAGCCGAGCTGCACAAGTCCGAGCCCGACCTGGCTCTTCTCTCTCTGGTTCTGGGCTTTGTGGAGCACTTTCTGGCTGTGAACCGGGTCATTCCAATAAATGTTCCAGGAGTTCGCTTTGAGCCTCTGGAGCCAGACTGCCCCAGCTCGTGTTTCCCCACAGTGGAGCTGGGTATGATTTCTGCCCTGTATGAGCGCTTCACAGCACAGATCCGGGGAGCAGTGGACCTGTCCCAGTATCGAAGGACCGCCACAGGCTCCAGCAGAGAGCTTGTGAAGAAAGTCTCAGATGTGATCTGGAACAGCCTCAGTCGCTCTTACTTTAAGGACCGGGCTCAYATCCAGTCCCTGTTCAGCCTCATCACAGGTACAACAGTTCAGTCCAGACACCTGTGTGGTGACTGAAACATGCTTGATGCTGGGTATCTGCTGTTAGTGCAGTGACTCTTTAAATAACGATTTGCTCCGTCCGAAAAGGTACCAAACTGGACAGCTCTGGAGTGGCCTTTGCAGTGGTGGCAGCCTGCCAGGTGCTGGGTCTGAAAGATGTTCACCTGGCGCTGTCAGAGGACCACGCCTGGGTGATATTCAGCAAGAACGGCGAGGAGACCGCAGAGGTCACGTGGCACGGGAAGGGCAACGAGGACCGCCGAGGTCAGACGGTCTCAGCTGGAGTCAATGAGAAGGTCAGGGGTCCAAACCCAAACACACGTTTAGGACCTGCTAATATCCTCCACAGAAAGTCCAAATCATCAGAGCAAACCTTGTTTCAGCTCAGTTAGGATCCACCAGATAGGTTAGATTTACTAAAGAAAAATAATGAGAGGAAGATAGTTGTTACAAGTTTAAATACACCAAGATTACCATGCCTTTAAAGTGCCTGTGACATACAAAAATAATACAAAAACTCAAAGAAAATATATTTATATTTAAGAAACTTGGCATAATACACATGATTTAACTCGTTATGTCACATAATTGGCATATTTTCTTTTGAATTTTGCTCGGCTAATATGCAACAGGAAGTGACATCAAAGAGGAACTCTTGAACTCAGACTCTTCATCTCCCTGATATGACTCGAAATAATCTAAAGAAACATCAGATTCTTCTCTACAGTCTGTGTTAGCTGTTGTAGCAATGCTCTGTTTACATTCAGACATTCCCCTTTGACATCACTTCCTGTTTCTTCATGTGAATATCTCAACAACTGTTCTTCTCAGTGGGGTGAATTTTTTTTTACAATATATTATTAATGTTATCTTTCTAAAAATATATTCATATTTATTATAAAAGTTTGATGTCACAGGCACTTTAAGCAATCTGGTAGATAATGATGATGTCATGGCTTTGGAAGCTTTTCATTGGTCAGTCAGAAACATTTGAGTTCATTGAAGGCACACCTCCAGCATTCTGCTGCTCTCTGTTGMATCATGGGAAAACTAAAAGAAAAACCAGGAAGTGAATTGTGTATGTTCAGAGCTCTGTAGTTGGTCTTCTGAAACCAGCTTTAAATGTTGACCTGTGAGCAGGTGATGACTGGTCTGTGTCTGTCTTCAGAGCTGGCTGTATCTGAAGGGCTCCTACATGAAGTGTGACAGAAACATGGAGGTGGCCTTCATGGTGTGTGCCATCAACCCTTCTCTTGATTTGCATACGGACAGCTCTGAGCTCCTGCAGCTGCAGCAGGTCAGCAGTCTCTAACATGCAGTAAACACACGTGTTTGTGGGCCTCTGTAACGACCTCTGCACTTCTTTGTGTTTCACAGAAGCTCCTTTGGTTGCTGTATGATCGAGGAGACCTGGACAGGTGAGTGTCAGGACAGTGTAGGACAGACAGGCATCAGTTTACCAGGTGGTCCACATGTTCTACTGCTCTGTCTTTCACCAGATACCCCATGGCCATGGGTACCTTAGCAGACCTCGAAGATCAAGAGCCAATACCAGGCAAGGAGAGTCCCCTTCAAATCCATCTCAAGGTAGGACAGTCTTCAAGTTTCTGACAAAGAAGGCAGCTGGGGTATTGTTCTGAATGAAATGTCAGGTAATGAATAATTGACCTGCTCAGAATGATCTAAAACTGACATGTAAAACAAAGAAACACAGTGAGTTTAAATAAACGGAACATATCAAACCATGACCATCAGCCAAACATGGTAGTTCTCCTCGGACACTGTGGTATTCAGGTTTTAATCAGTATCCCTGCTCGTCATGTGCAGCTTTAACTGAGGAAGACTATGGTCTTGGCTCTTCCTCCTGAACTGAAACCAAATATAAAATACCTTGATCAAATGTCCTTGTTATATTTGACCTTCTTGCTACCATGAGACGACACTGGTGCTGCTTCATCAGTTATCATCGTTCACTCCCTGTTCCACAGGCGTTCTTCACATAGTTTTATTATTTATCTCTGTCTTGTGCTCAAACTGAAACAGCCTTTTAAATCTCACCTCCTTTGTTGACATGTGTACAAGCAGCTGGATTGGATGTWTCCTCCATGCAAACTCCTGACTAGCTCAGTCACTCTATATATGTACTATATGGGCTCAAATAGCTAATTAAAGCTAAGTGTGTTGCATAAATGGATCATTGAACATAAAGCAGCACAGTAAATGATCAGATGAGTATTTTTATTTATTTTTTAATTAAAATGTTCAGTTAAATGGAGTGAGAAKGTTGTACTGCAGCCATCCACAAGGGGGCGCCTCTCATTTGTGTCTTTTTTAGTTTAGTTTAATTCATTTCATTTATAAATAAGCATTTTATGCACAACAAAAAAAGTAAATAAAATAAAATCACACTTAAAATGAAAGGAGGCAGAAAGAAGAACTAAATCTTATATCTGCCCTTTTTCCCCCAAAAATTAATTTCAAGCAATAATAATCAAGAAACAAAACAAAATAAAATCTTAAATTCCTTTTCAAACAACAACTTTTGATATACAATTTCATATTTCTTTAACAAACTTAATTTTATCATTCTCTTAAACACATGGAACCAACATTTTTATAATCTTTAGTCTTTAACCCTGTGTCTGATTATAAAACATTTTCTCATGAAGCAGCTGTTCATTTCATCAAGTTTCACCTCTAATGGTGTATTTCTCTCTCCTGCTTCTACATTAAGTAAATGAATGTAGACATGTCTGTATTTAGTATGTTGAAGAAAACCTCTGTGTGTGTGTGTGTGTGTGTGCGTGCGTGCGTGCGTGCGTGCGTGCGTGCGTGCGTGCGTGCGTGCGTGCGTGTGTGTGTGTGTTTCAGGCTGTCTCTTCGGCTCAGACCTACTACAACAATGAGCACATTTACCCCTACATGTACCTGGCTGGTTTCCACTACAGACACAGGAATGTGCAGGAGGCTCTGAAGGCCTGGGCTCACGCTGCTCAGGTCATGCAGGAGTGAGTTCACACTCTCACTGACACACACAGAGAGGATAAAACAGGGCCTGGATGCTAAAGGAGAGATGACTCAGAGAGAAACATGAACAACTACAGAGATGTGATGCTGCTAGAAAATTAAAAAGCTGTATTTTTTTAAAGCGTACAGTTCTTTAACTTGCCTCTACGCTCTGTTTACTGTGTCCTGTTTGCAGACACAGCTCTGGAAACAATGATGACAGTGTTCCTGTATGTGGTGGAATGCTGTCCACCACATATTGATGTGTTAACTCTTCCTGAATTCAAACATTAGTTTTGTTGTTTCTACATGAATATGAACTTGTTTTCTCTTCTTTATTTGAGCTCTGAAAGCTGCATCTTTGTTGTCATTTTGACCATTTCTCATTTTCTGCAGATAAATATGTTTGCTGAGGATTTCATAGACACATTGTCAGTAGTTCATAGAATAAAATCACAATGTTCATTTTAGAGACTGATCATTTTAAAGTGGTCTCAGAGCTGTATATACAGTCACTTCTTTACTTTTATCCAACAGCTACAGTTTGAATGCTGGTTGTAAACTGAAGGTGTGTCATGTGTTGAAGCAGTGCACATCATCCAGCAGCTGTTAAACTAACACATGACAGGTGCAGCGTGTGGTCAAACCTTTAAACGACATGTTGGGAGACATTACATGTGTTAGCACTCAGGCTATATCAGCCAGCATTTAGCTCATTAACTGTTAGCATGTTTTGTGTTCGCTGTAGTTAGCTGTGGCAGCCATATTGAACTGAGTTGAGTCTAGATGTTCATCCAGGGATTACTCTGGATAACCTGTGGTTGACCACAGGTTATTTAGCTAACACTACAGACAAACAGGATGGTGTCAGGTGATAAACACAGGTGTGTTTTCCTGTGCTGTCATGTGTTGAACACAGGATGAGCTGCGTTTTAAACTCATCTCAGGTAGTTTGAAGTGTGAAGGTTTTTCAGCAGACATCAGGTGGTTGTGACTGACAGGAAGTGTGGGGCTCGGGGGCTATCGTTCTGTGTCCTCACCTTTTAAACAGCTYGTTGGTGAGCTGCTGCTATTAATACTCAGCTCTACATTCCTGCCCGGCCTGTCAGCTTCCTTTTTCCTGTTGGCCTTTTGTTCTTCAGGTTCTGCTGCCTCTCTGAGCACAATCACAGGGAAATCTGTGTTCACAACATGTTTCTGTTTGGAAAGTTCAGTTCTTGTCACATTTTCACTGCTTTAATTCAGGCTGCAGAGCCACAGTTAGGATTATCTCCCTGCAGAGCCCCTCATTGATGTTAGAAGATGTTTGTGTAACAGTGTCCTGTCGGTCCCCTGCCTCTCCTCTCACACTGCTGCAGATATAATTATTTCCGTGAAGACGAGGAGATCTACAAGGAATTCTTTGACATTGCAAATGATGTTATCCCCACCCTGCTGAAGGAGACCGCTGCTGCCGAGAGTCCTGGGGAGGAAGGAGAGGGGGGAGACGGGTCTGACAAGGTGAGACACGTCCCACTCAGCCACAAACCTGAAAGTGTTTTACTGACAGAGCAACAGCAAGCAGAGCAGCACACTGGGCCTCATGCAAGAACATGTTCGTATTCTTATCCTACATTTCTCTTACTTTTGTTCATATGAAGGGTTCGTACGAACATGTCACGTCAGATTCAACAAACTCTTCTATCTTCAGGAAAAGTGTGTAAATGAGCTGCGTAAACTGATGAATGTGTATCAACTGCTCATGCACGAGGACAGGTTATTTACATAATTACCACCCCAAAAACACCATATAAGGCTATACGTTCCTGCCCCACATACCAGGAAGTGTCCATTCATAAATGACATCGCAAAGTAAAAAAGAACTTTATGAGTTCGGAGATTAAAGTCCTGCTGTCAGAGAC